TCCCCAACCAGCAAACATTAAACCTGCATCTACCATGTCTCTCCCTTTAAGGATTGTGTTACTTTATTTTCAATAGTATCATCATCATCTGTTGAATCCCTTGATAATACAGGTTCGGTTTAGCCACTCGCTCCTCATAGGATATTGTCACTAACCCAGGGACAGGTCTGATGAATATTCATGGACCTCTCTACAGGGGAATAACATCTTTCCTGAGATAAGGAGACCCAAACTGCACACAGTGCTGCAGGTGCAGCCTAACTAAAGTCCGATGTGTAAGAAACAAGACTTCACTGCTCTTGGACTCAAATCGTCTCGCAATAAAGGCTAACATTCTATATAGCCTTCCTACAAGTGTATTTAGGCATTTAACAGGGCATCAGAGATTTATGCAGTAATGGTGCATCTGTAACCATGGGTGACGTTAATTTACATATAGATTGGATAAAACAAAGTGGTGGAGTATTTTCATGATTATGCATGCATAAGTGTGTTTTTTTTATTCATTTGTGGGATGTTGGTGTCATTCGATGGCCAGTATTTTTACTGCCCATCCCGTGTTGCCCTTGAGAAGGTGGTGGTACTGTGTGTGTGATTTGTTTTTAGACCAATACCCGAAGAGCCAACCAGACAACAGGAAATTCTAGATGGGATACTTTTCTATGAGAAATGATGAATTAGTAATCTTGTTACGCACAGTTCCCTTAGGGAAGAGTGACCATAATGCTACAGAATGCTTTATAAAGGTGAAGAGCCATGTCGATGAAGTAGCAGCCAGAATGCTGAATCTAAATAAAGGGAACTACGATGTAAGAGGCATGAATTGGCAAGGATAGATTGTGGAGTCATAGTAAAGTGATTGATGGGGGATAGTGAATGGTTCATGTTTAAAGATAGTACTCATGAATTACAACAGTTACTCATTTCTGTCTGACGCAAAGAAATGGCAGAAGATTCGAACACATACTATGCTGCTATGTTCACAAAGGAGGATACAAGCAAGTATCCAGAAATGTTAGAGAACCAAAGGTGCAGTGGGAGGACAAAAGTGAATGAAATCAGTGTTCAGAATGAGTGGTGCTAGGGTAAAAAACGGTGTTAAGGGTTGACAAACCACGAGGACCTGATCATCCACACTCCAGAATAGTCAATGAAGTTACCCTGGAAACAGTAGATGCATTGATGATCATCTTCCAAAAGTCTGTAATCTCTGAAGCATTTCCTAGATATTGCTGTTCTCTTTCATTTTACATATCCACAAAAGCTCTTTCTGGATATGTTTATGTTTCCTAACATCTGAGTTTCATAGTCAATTTCTCTGTTTTAATTCACTGTTTGCATCTTCCTGATAGATGTCCAATTCTCCGACCTCGCTTTACACTTTGCCACTTTGCCCTAATTTTTGAATTGGACAGTGCTCATTGACCAGCTTAGCCAACCACGCTTTCTTGTTGAGTTCTGCTTTTTGACCTGAACCTTTTAATTTTTACTGAGAGTTTTGAAACATCTGCTTCCAAATCTGCCACTGTTTCTCC